TTCAGCAATCTGAATAAGAAGGTTGTATTGAAATTTAAGGACGAGGTGGCGGGAAAAATCATTGAAGAATTCATTGCATTGAAACCAAAGCTCTACTAGTTAAAATATGCAGGTTAGTATTGAAAAAAAAGCAGCTCTCCGAGTCCCCTCAATTTCTTTACATTAAGGGTTCCATCCCTTGGGTTATGGATCTTGTTGGGACCAAATTATTACCTTTTGTTGATTCTTGTTTCATCATTCATCATTTGAAATTTTTTAAGCAAATACTCACCACAAACGCACTTTTGTAACTTTTGACCTAAACAAGTTTAAAATTTTGACATGGAATGTTTTTTTGATAATGACACGATTTGGAATTTTTATAATTTGGAATGAATTAAGATATTTGAACTTTTTGGAATTGAAAAAATTGGAAAGTTATTAGATATTGAGTTCTTAGAATATTCAGATTTGAGAAACGTTTTCGATATTAACACTAAAACTGGGCTTGCGAATTTTTATGGGCTTGCAAAGCTAAAATATGTTTATGGGCTAATCTCTGTTCTTCATTTAGATTGAACTAGCATGAGGAGTGCAAAAGGAGTGGTGCAACACTCCCAGCAGCAACTTACACACCAGGGTTTCAGGGACACATTACTGAGTGAAAAAACCCTTCGTATATACAAATACTCAAAAAAATCGAACGTCCATATCAACATAACCATAGCGCAGAACCGAATTGTCCATTAGCTACATTACTCTTTGGACACAGATCTACCGAAGAAAATGTGTTCTTCGAGGCCATTGCTGAAGATAGCGAGTGGGCAAACTGACAGTTGACAAATACCCCGACTTGTAGCAGCGAAAACAGCGAAAGCTGGCAATCACCGTAATTCTGCGTTCCAGACTGAGGCTTTCTTCAAGAAAACTATACGGAGGAAGAGCTTCAAAAAGAAAGCGCAGCTAGCAGTTCAAGAGACCCTCCGCCTATCAATAACCCATTCATTCTAACAGAAACGTCTGTTAGTTCTAGTCAGAAAAAAAGGAGAAAACTTGATAAAACTGATCAATAAAATCTTTTAATTTAAAAATTCCGGCTAATTTGCCTTGTTACTGGGAATTACGGCTGTACATTTGTAAATATAAAACATTCAGCAAACATTGTTTTAAATTAAATAGACCGGTGAAAACGAGACTGGTAATTGCAACTTACCCTTGAAGCAGGAGCGAAGGATTGCGTATTTAGTTTCCCAAAGTAGGCTAATAGTAAGGCTAAAAGAATCAAAATGGTATAAGTCTGAGAATAAAATAAATAAGAGTTGGAAATAAGTTTGAGAATAAAATAAGAAAAAAAAACTAACAATAATTACCAAAAACTTTTAAAAGGAAACATGAATGGTACTTTATGTAAACTCATATTTATATGAACGAAAAGAATTAGCTTTTAGGTTAAAAAAAGCGAGCAAACCGCAGCCGGAAATACCCATTTTTATTTAGTGGTGTGAAACTTTGGAAGGGATTAAATTTAACCACCGCGCGAAATTAAATACCAAAGTATTTTGTCCGTCGGGTGTCCTAAGAGAGGGGTCTTTTATTTTGGGCAGGGTACTTTGGAGTCTTTAAAAAAGATGGGTTCTTTTGGACCCTACTTTTGGTAGGACCCCAAAGACCCCTGCTGTCGAAAAGACCCCCCCCCCCCTAAAGACACACGGCGGATTACAATACTACTCACTGATCGCAGTGATTTTTTGCTA